TCCAGCTCCCTATGCTCCAACATTGATCTTTCTGTAAATCAACCATGCAATGCAATTTCCCTTTCCCTGAAATGCTTTTCTCCAGACTTTTAGCACAGCTGGCTCCTTTTCTTCTAGTCTCAGTTCAAATGTCATTTCCTCTGAGGTCTTTTCCAGCTTCCATGCCTCTATTTTTTCTGAGATCATATACTGTTGATTTGTTACAGCAGTTCACACTGTAGACTATTATCATGCTTGGTAATTTGTTTATCTCTACTGACTAGAATGTAAGCACCACGAAGAAGCTTGTAGGTCAAGTTCACAGCTGTATTCTCACAGGCTAGAACTGTGCCTCACATAAAATAGGCTTCTATAAGTGATTGTTGGATGGATGGATGAGGAAGGGCAAAGTCTAGGTGGTTGATAAAGATCCTCCTCTGTTCATAATCTGACATTCCATCGCCACCATGGCTAACATCTGCTCTCAGCCTCCACCATTTCTCACCTGGACTGCTGCAAGTCTGCCTGCTTCTTCCCTGGGTCCCCTACGGTCTATTTCAACACAACTGCCAACCTAATCCTCTTTAAAACATGCCTCTCTTCTGTGAGAAACCCTGTAATGGGCTCCGTATATCACTCAAAGTAAAAGCCAAAGTCCTTACAAATAGCCTACAAGCCCTACTTGGTGTGTTCCCTCCTTACCTCTGACATGTCCCTCGCTTAGTCAGCAATAACTGCTTTTGCCTTCCTGTTCCTTGAACATGCCAGGCACCATAGGGTATTTTCTCTAAGCTGTTCCCTCTTCCTATAATGTCTTTCCTCCTGTATCCAATCGACTAGCTCCCTCACCTCGTCTATTTAAATCTGACCTTCCTATTGAAGCCTATCCTCATGCCTACTGCAACCGATCAGCACACCCCCATGTCAGCTTTCCTCCTTAATCTTTTCCCCCATAGAACATATTATCTTCTAACATACTGTACAGTTTATTTTTACATTTTATTAACTGTCTTCCCTGCCACCCTTCACTATAATATAAACTCTGAGGGCATACTTTGTTCACTAATGATTCCCAGGCACCTATGATAGTGTCTGGCACAAGTAGGCATTCAGTATATATTAACATGAATTAGTAATCTTGATCCTATATAATAAAAGCCTAATATGCAAATTGTCCCCTGGACTGGGAGTTTGACTGCTTGACCAGTCGCTATGACGTGCACTGACCACCAGGGGGCAGATGCTCCAACTGATAGGGTAGCTTGCTGCAGGCCCTGTTGGGCTGGACTGGAAAGTGAGGTGTGAGGTGAGCCCTCAGGAAGCTCCCAGGGTTTGGCCCCAGCCCCCAGTGGAGGCAGGCAGGGGCAGGTGGGGGCAGGAGCCAGGAGGGACCGGGTGGTGCAGGAGGCTGATATACGTGATCAGAGAGGCGTGGACTGTGCAGCCCTCCACAGCCTGTGGCATTCTCAGTGCACAATTTATAATCTTCAGAGCTGCTTCTTTTTATTTGATGTTTCACCAACTACTCCAGGATACTGGGTAGCACCATTGGCGGGGCCTGGTGGGGCGAGGGGAGGCCAGGTGCCAGAGGCCAAGGGGCAGCCTCGGGCTCTTGGGACGCAGCAGAGAGGGGGGCGGGGCTGAGTCGGAGAAACCGAGTCCAAAACTTGAAAAGTGGGAGGTAGTGAGGGGCAGAGGGCGACAGCTGTGCAGGGGCCTAGAAAAGCTGCTGAGTGGAGGAGCCCGGTGCCTCTCCCACGGGACAGGCTCCACGTCCCTTCCTCCTCCCTGTGTCCCTCACCCCAGCTCTCCTCCGAGACCCAACCTGAGCTCACCCTGTATAGCCCCGCCCCACACAGCCACACCCCGCCTTTGGGGAGCTCCACCCAGGAGGAGAAAGGGGAGGCTGCAGACAGGAGGTCACAAGAAGGGGGCAGAGCAGGGCCCACCAAGTTATATGGAGAGGACAGAGGGAGACCCCACATGACTGGGGACAGAGATGGGCAGAGAAGGAGGGCTGTGTGGAAGCAGAAATCCTGACCCCATTTTACAGGCCCCAGCAGAGTCGGTGTGTGTGTGCGGGAGGGGCACATGAAGACAAAAGAGAGTGAGGGAGGACTGGATGGATAAAGAGCAGCATTTGATTCATGGCCTATTTTTATTTTTTTAATTATATTTTTATTGATTTCAGAGAGGAAGGCAGAGATAGAAACTTCAATGATGAGAGAGAATTAATCTGCTCCCTCCTGCACGCCCCCTACTGGGGATTGAGCCCACAACCCAGGAATGTGCCCTTGACCAGAATTGAACCCAGGACCCTTCAGTCCGCAGGCCATGGCTCTACCCACTGAGCCAACCCATCTAGGGCGACCCATGGCCTATTTAAAACCGCTGCAGTAGGCTGAGCAGGGGTCTTACCACGATGGTGCTACCTGATAATGAGGGTGTCTCTCCTTATGTTGAAGTAATCAGAACTGCAGCGAAGTAAAGGCACACCCACGGAGCCTGCAAAGGGTTTCCACGCACACGATGCAATTTACTTCGGGCGGCAGCTGAAGAGGGTGAGCAGAGCCTTGGAAGGACATGAGGTCTCCAACAAGGACATAAGGGCTGGAGGGAAAGTGCGTGCTGAGCATTCTGCACTGTGAATTACAATCTCTCTCTCTCTCTCTCTCTCTCTATATATATATATATAAGCCTAATATGGTAAGTGTCTGACCTAGTGGTCGACCTCCCGCATACCTCTCCGGCCACAATCATGTACCGGTGGGGTCCCTTGGCCTGGCCTGCGCCCTCTTGCAATCCAGGAACCCTTGGAGGATGTCGGAGAGCCGGTTTCAGCCCGACCCCGCAAGCCAGGCTGAGGGACCCCACTGGTGCATGAATTCGTGCAACGGGCCTCTAGTTTAAAATATTATCAATGATTGCTTTATAGCTCTGAATCACTGAATTGAACCAGATACCAGACCATCTTAAGAACTTTCTCAGCATTTAGAAATGTCTAATGGTATTTACTCCACTCCCTTCAAAAGCAGTGTTCTCTGCTGATGATAGATATAAGATTCATGCATTTTGTGGCCGGTTTTATAATATGGCTACCAAGAACCTTTTCCAACCTTGAAGATTCAAGACTGAAAAACCTTTCCTTAGGTACCTTTTGAGATGGATATGTAGCCCAAGCCGCAATGTTTTAATAGGAAAAGGCTTAGTTTGGCTATTTCAGATTTGACTCAATTTTCTAAATACATAACTTTTATCAATTTCATCCAGACACTGCAATTTATTATACAACCCTCACTCACAGATTTCCCCTAGATCTGATGCATCTAGACTCTAATCTTTAGATAGTGTTATAAATGTACACCTTGCAGAGATGGCAAAGTCTAACTCCTTAATCTTCCCTGAGAAGATAACTTTTAGAAATGAACTAAGTATTTAAGGAAAGTTACACTTTATGTTATGATTAAAGAAACACAATAGAAACCCATTCTGAGTATGAAAAAAATAAACACTAAATTATTTCAGTTACTCTACTAAAGCCTAAATCTAAACCATAGATTACAACCAGTATTTAACTATACATTCACATAGTTAATGAAGGGGAAAAAAACTTGAACCCCATGCACCGAAAATAGCCTGCTTCCACTAACGTCAGATATTAGCATATCCCAGGATATAGTAGATTGGGGGCAGGACTTCAAGCTCAATTAAAGCTGAAGGTCATTTCATTGTGTAATTCTGAGCTGCTAAAAATAAAATTTCACTAAAAAAAATCACAATGGTACTTTATACAACCTTAATGACAAAAGAATAATTTTTTGCTCCTTATCTAAAATTTATAATACTGACCAAAAGCTATTAATTATTGGTATATGTATATTAAAGGGTGATAAAATAAGACAAAGCATGGTAAAGATTGCTTTATTGGTGGCAGTTAGTACAAGTCAATAAATATTGATCCCAAAGAAGAACTCAGTTATTGTCAGCTTACTGGTCCATAGAGAGCTGAATGAAATTGAACCAGCTGATTGCTGGGAGGATAACTGAAGTCAATCCTGCTTCTTTGGAAATGAAGCCAAAGCCAGCTGATATATGGCATAAATTGTTCCTAAAAAAATAAAAGAAACACAAGAAGAACTTAAAAATGTATACGCATACTTTGAATAATTATACAGGCAGTGTTTATTAAAATACATTTTAATTTCATTTTCAAAATTGAGCTATCAGCTATTAAAATGTGTATACATTTTTTAAGTCACCCTGTATATAAATATTTATTCTAGTTTCAATATTACTTAACTTCTACACAAAGTGCTAGATACAGTGCAATAATGTATTTGTCATCTTAAAAACAAAAATTTTTAAATAAAATTAAGAACATATATAAAGATAATTTCCATACTTATCTAAGAATGCCTGAGAAAGCTAAGAATGATTAAAAAACCAACAAGAGGTAAAAATACACAAGCTTTCCCTAAAGTGTATTGCCAATGTAAAACCAAGGAACATGATATATAATTTTAAAATAACCAAGAATAGCTAATAACTAGAAATTTATAACTCTGCTCCTACTATACCAATTTGTGTATTACACTGCTAATACTGAATAATGGACCTGCCCAATCCACAGAAAAAAATGTCAAAGCACTTTGCATATAGTAATAAGTATTGGTCTGCACTGGTTTTGTCATAAATAAGTGTGTACAAAATTGAGATGTAAAATTTTTTTATTATGTATCACAAAATGTTTAAAAGCCCCTTACAGGAGATGGGGTAGAATAGATGCCTTCAATTCCTCCAAAGGCCTGCAGGGCCACCAGTGGCACATGGAAAGCCAATCATCAAACTTTACTGGTTTATTTGTTAAAGACATTAAGATGTTCTTTTTTTTTTTTACAGAGAGGAAGGGAGAGAGATAGCCAGAAACATCGATGAGAGAGAAACATCGATCAGCCGCCTCCTGCACATCTCCTACTGGGGATGTGCCTGCAACCCAGGTACATGCCCCCGACCGGAACCAAACCCGGGACCTTTCAGTCCGCAGGCCGACGCTCTATCCACTGAGCCAAACCGGCTTCGGCTAAAATGTTCTTATACAATATGTACCAATCACCCTCTTGAATCCTTAGAGCAAAGCAGTAAGATCTCAGATTCTAGAGAAAGAGTGCCTGTGTGAAAATACCGGCATAGCATGCTATATACAGACGATGTATTATAAAATTGTATACTTGAAATATATAAAATTAATGAATGACAGCCCAATGAATTTAATAAGAAATAATATTTTAAAAATACTGGTATAGTAAAAGCAATGAAATTGTTAGTTATCCTTACTATTACTTTTCTATAAACCAAGCATTACAAATGTCTTACCACCAACTGGAAGAATCATGGGAGCTCTATACAGGGAGGGCATCAGCTACCCCACCCTTTAGATGCACTGGAATTCCATCATCCTCCTAAGTTAAAAAAAATAGTAATATTAATAAAAAGATTAATCCATTCATATAAAATTAAGTGGCTAGAATTTAAATATTTTAAATTTCAAAATTAAAAAGAACTACAATTTTCCTGATTTTTCTCTACTACTACTACTACTACTACTACCACCACTACTTTTAAAGTAAGAACTTCTAAAGTCAACACTTTCTTTTTTTTTTTTAATTTTTTTATTGCTTAAATTATTACAAAGAGTATTACATATGTCTCCTTTTTTTTTCCCGCCCTTGACAATCCCCTGGCTTCCCCTACCCCCCAGTGTCTTATGTCCATTGGTTATGCTTATATGCATGCATACAAGTCCTTTGGTTGATCTCTTACCGCCCCCCCTCCAACCCCCCCACCCTCCCCGGCCTTCCTGCTGTAGTTTAACAGTCTGTTTGAGGCAACTCTGCCTCTGTATCTATTATTGTTCAAGAGTTTATAATGGTCTCTATTATCCATGAATGAGTGAGATCATGTGGCATTTTTCCTTCATTGTAAAGTCAACACTTTCTTTTAAAGTTAATTTGAGATCCAATAAAGATGTTCTTTCCATGGAATATATAAAATACAAATGTCAATGATATGAAAATATATTCATTGAGTTCATCAACTTAATTACAAATATTAGTAATCATCACATTTTAGATTCAAAGAGAAGATTTTTTTTATTCTTTAAAATAAAGGCAGAGATTAAAAATGGTGGCGGAGTAATTGGATGCTACATGGACATGCTCCCAGGACCAAACTGGAATTACAACTAAAATACAGAAAAACTTCCTGAGTAATCAATGGAAGACTCCCTGGAGAAGGGTTGAAAAAAATCACTCAATCAGAGAACCAAAAAGAAAAATCAATTAAATAACAGGACAGCTTAAGGAAGCTGTGGGACAACGTGAAATGTAACAATACTTGAATACCAAGAGTGCATGAATAAAGGGATAGAGAATGTGTTTGAAGAAATAATGGCAGAAAACTTCCCTAACCTGGTAAAGGAAAAAGTCACACAAGTTCAGAAGGCACAGAACCCCATGCAAGAAGAACCCAAACAGGCACATACCCAGACACATCATAATTAAAATGCCAAAAATGAAAGACAAAGAGAGAATTTTAAAGGCAGCAAAAGAAAAGGTTACCTACAAAGGAGTTCCCATAAGGCTGACACCTGATTACTCATCAGAAACTCTACAGGCCAGAAAAGAATGGCATGAAGTACTCAATGTAATGGAGAGCAAGGATCTGAGAACAAGATTACTATATCCAGCAAGGCTATCATTCAAAATACATGGTCAAATAAAGAGCTTCCCAGATTAAAAAAAAAAAAAAAAGGCTAAAGTAGTACATCACCACCAAGATAGCATTACCTGAAATGCTAAATGGACTGCTGTAATGAGAAGAACCAGAGAGAGAAACCTAGCCATACAGAATTAAAATGGCAATAAATAAGTACCTATAAATAATAACCTTAAATGTAAATGGATTAAATGCTCCAATCAAAAGGTGTAGGATAGCTGAATGGATACAAAAACATGACCCAACTATATGCTGTCTACAAGAGACCCACCTCAGAACAAAAGACACACACAAGATGAGAGTGAAGGGATGGAAAAAATTTTTCCATTCAAATGGAAAAGAAAAAAAAGCTGGAGTAGCAATACTCATATCCAACAAAACAGACTTCAAAATGAAGGCCATCACAAGAGACAACAAAGGTCACTACATAATACTAAAGGGACGATCCAACAAGAGGATATAACCCTGGTAAACATATATGCACCCAATATAGGAGCACCTAAATATATAAAAAGACTTCAACACCCCGCTGACTACACTAAATAGATCTTCCAGACAAAAACTTAACAAGGAAACAGTGACTCTAAAGGACACACTGGATCAGATGGATTTAATTGATATTTCTAGAACATTTCACCCCAAAGCTGCAGAATACATTCTTCTCAAGTGCACATGGATCATTCACAAAGATAGACCACATGTTAGGACATAAAATAAGTCTCTACAAGTTCAAGAAGATTGAAGTCATAGCAAGCATCTTGTCAGATCACAATAGAATGAAATTAGAAATCAACTCCAGTGAAAACACCCAAAAACATTGAGGCTAAATAGCATTTTATTAAACAATGAATGGGTTACCAACATGATCAAGAATGAAATAAAAAACTTCCTGGAAACAAATGAAAATGAACACACAACAACCCAAAATCTCTGGGAAACAGCAAAAGCAGTCATAGCAGTACAGGCCTACCTCAAAAAAATAAATAAATAAATAACAAGAAAAATTAACAATAAACTATTTAACCCTACAACTTAAATAACTCGAGAAAAGCCCAGAGTAAGTAGGAGGAAAGAAATAATAAAGATAAGAGCAGAAATAAATGACAGAGACTAAAAAAACAATACAGAAAAATCAATAAACCAAGAGCTTGTTCTTCGAAAGGATAAACAAGATTGATAACCATTAGCCAGACTCATCAAAGAAACAAAGAGAGAGGACCCAAATAAATAAAAGCAGAAACGAAAGCGGAGAAGTAACCAATGACACCACAGAAATAGAAGGATTGTAAGGAAATACTATGAAAAACTATATGCCAACAAGCAGGACAATGTGGATGAAATGGACAAATTACTAGAAAAATACAATCTCCCAAAACTGAATGAGGAAGAATCAGAAAATCTGAATAGGCTAATAACAACTCATGAAATAGAAGCAGTAAGCAAACAAAAGCCTAGGTCCAGGCAGCTTCACAGGGGACTTTTACCAAACATTCAAAGAACTATCACCTATCCTCCTCAAACTATTACAAAAAATCCAAGAGGAAGGAACACTTCCAAGTTCTTTTTATGAGGCCAGCATTATCCTAATCCCAAAACCAGACAAAGACACTACAAAGAAAGAATTACAGGCCAATATCCCTGATGAACATAGATATTAAAATCCTCAACAAAATATCAGCAAATTAGATCCAGTAATATATTAAAAAGATCATACATCATGACCAAGTGGGATTTATTCCAGGGATGCAAGGCTGGTACAATATTTGCAAATCAATAAATGTGAAACATCACATAAACAAACTAAAAGACAAAAATCACATGATCATATCAGTAGATGCAGAAAAAGCATTCAACAAAATCCACACCCATTTTTGATAAAAACTCTCTGCAAAGTGAGAATAGAGGAAACACTTCTCAACATGATAAAGGCCATTTATGACAAACCTACAGCGAACATCATACTCAATGAGGAAAAACTAAAAGCACTTCCCCTAAGAATAGGAACAATACACGGATGTCTGCTTTCACCAATCTTATTCAACACTAGAAGCCCAGTGCACGAATTTGTGCATGGGTGGGGTTCAGCGGGCCCGCCCCGATTGGGGCCAATCTGGCCGGGTCAGTTGTGGGGAGGGGACGCAGGAGGTTGGCCGGCCAGCCTCACCTCCGATTGTGGTGGGGGGGTGTGTGTAGAGGAGGAGCGACTGGGGCAGGGCCAGCACAGGGGAGGGGCCATGGGCCATTGTCCAGCCGGCCCCGCCCCCTGGTCGAACTCCCGGTCAAGGGGACAATTTGCATATTAGCCTTTTATTATATAGGAGGATAGTACTGGAAGTCCTAGCCACAGCGATCAGACAAGAAATAAAAGGCATCCAAACTGGAAAGGAGGAAGTAAAATTCTTATTATTCCCAGATGACATGATATTGTACATAGAAAACTCTAAAGACTCCAACAAAATACTACTAGATTTAATAAATGAATTTGGCAACGAAGCAGGATACAAAATCAACACCCAAAAATCGATGGCTTTTTTTATACACCAATAAGGAATTCTCAGAAAGAGAAACTAAACAAACAATCCCATTTACCACTGCAACAAAAAAATTAAGATACTTAGAAATAAGCTTAACCAAGGAGGCAAAAGACCTGTACTCGGAAAACTACAGGACGTTGAAAAAAAGAGATAGAAGAAGATATAAACAAGTGGAAGAATATACCGTATTCAGGGATTAGTAGAATCAACATCATTTAAATGTCCATACTACCCAAGGCAACCTAAAGATTCAATGCAATCCCTATTAAAATACCAATAGCATATTTCATAGATCTACAAGAAATACTCCAAAAATGTATATGGAATCAAAAAAGATCCTGAATAGCTGCAGCAATCTTGAGGAAAACAAACAAACTTGGAGGAATCATAATACCAGATTCCACATTATACTACAAAGTCACCGTAATCAAAACAGCCTGGTACTGTCATAAGAACAGGCATATATTTCAATGGAACAGAACAGAGTCCCCAGAAATCGACCCAAGCCATTATGCTCAATTAATATTTGACAAAGGAGGCAAGTGCATACAATGGAATCAAGACAGTCTCTTCAATAAATGGTGCTGGGAAAATTGGACAGATACATGCAAAAAAAATGAAACTAGACGTAACTTACACCATACACAAAAATAAACTTAAAATGGATAAAAGACCTAAATGTAAGTCAGGAAACCATAAAAATCCTAGAAGAAACCATAGGCAGCAAAATCTCAGATATCTCTCATAGCAATATGTTTACAGATACATCTCCTATGGCAGTGATGGCAAACCTTTTGAGCTCGGCGTGTCAGCATTTTGAAAAACCCTAACTTAACTCTGGTGCCGTGTCACATATAGAAATTTTTTGATATGTGCAACCATAGTAAAACAAAGATTTATATTTTTGATATTTATTTTATATATTTAAATGCCATTTAACAAAGAAAAATGAACCAAAAAAATGAGTTCGCATGTCACCTCTGACACGCGTGTCATAGGTTCGCCATCACTGTCCTAGGGCAAAGGAAACTAAGGAGAAAATAAACAAATGGGACTACATTGAAATAAAAAACTACACAGCAAAAGGAACCAATAACAAAACGAAAAGGGAGCCCACTCTATGGGAGAACATATTTGGCAAGGATACATCTGATAAAGGATTAATATCCAAAATATATAAGGAACTCATACAACTTAACAAAAGGAAGATAAACAATCCAATTAAAAAATGGGCAATGGACCTAAATAGACACTTCTCCAAAGTGGACATACAGATGGCCAAGAGACATGAAAAAATGCTCAAAGTCACTGATCATCAAAGATGAAAATTAAAATGACAATGAGGTATCACCTGTCAGAATGGCTACCATCAACAAATCAACAAGTGACAAGTGCTGGCGAGGATGTGGAGAAAAGGGAACCCTAGAACACTGGTGGGAATGCAGACTGGTGCAACCATGATGAAAAACAGTATGGAGTTTCCTCAAAAAAAAATAAATATGGAACTGCCATTTGACCCAATGATCCCACTTCTAGGAATATATCCTAAGAAACCTGAAATACCAATCAGAAAGAATGTATGCACCACTATGTTCATAGCAGCACAATTTACAATAGCTAAGATCTGGAAACAGCCCAAGTGCCCATCAGTAGATGAGTGGATAAAAAAGTTGTGGTACATTTATACCATGGAATACTAAGCAGCAGTAAAAATGAGGAGTCTCTTGCCCTTTGAGACAGCATGGAGGGACCTGGAGCGTATCATGCTAAGTGAAATAAGTCAGAGAAAGACAAGTATCACATGATCTCACTTATATGTGGAATTTAAGCAACAAAATAAACTGATGAACGTAGTGGATCCAGAGACATGGAAGCATGGAACAGAGTGCGGAATCTCAGAGGGAAGGCAGGCGGGGGACAGTTGGTGGGTGGACATAATCAACCAAGGACCTTGTTTGCATATATGCATGGCCCATGGACACAGACAAAGGGGTGGTGAGGGCCTGAGCAGGGGTGGGGGCAGGCTGGAGAGGGTCAATGGGGGAAAAAAGGGGACATGTGTAATACTTTCAACAATAAAGAATTATTAAAAAAAGTAAATAAATAATTTCTAAAAGGGAAGGGGTTTTGGTTTATAACCCTAAATCTATAGCCTCAATGCCTAGTTCAGCACCTGTCATAGAGTAAATATTTAATACATTTGTTAAACGTAACTATTCTATTTTTATGTAGTATAGATGGTCCAACTTTTTATCACTTAAAATTTTATTTGCAAAAAACCAAAGATCACAATAAAACAAAAACAAAAAATCAAGTAGATTACTTACAAAGGTAAACTACTCTATCTCACTAAGTTTCTCCTCATGAGAAACACCTATTAACAGTATGGTGCATATCCTTCAAATTTTTTTTAATGCTTATATTGTCATATCTTCTAATTTATATATCTATGTGCTTAAAATACAAAATGAGGTTATGCTATATAATCATTTGCCACATACTATTTTTTGCTTATGATATCTTAAAAAGCATTTTCTTGTAGTCCATTTAAACTGACCTCATTCCTTTTAATAGTTACTAGCATTCCACTGTACAAAAATATAATTGAATTAACCAGTCCTCTATTAATGGGTATTTAGATTATTGGGGTGTTTTGAAATTAAAATTCCATAATGAATAGCCTTTTTCCTATTTGTAAATATTTATGCTACTATGTCTGTAGGAATGATTCTTAAAAGTGGGAGTCCTAGATGACAGGGTATATAATTTGTTTTTAATAATACTTTCAAATATTCTTTTAAACGTTGTATTAATTATACTACTATCTAGCATGTATCAAAGTATTGTGTTTGAATACATGCTAGGTAGTAGTACTGAATGTACCTATCTCCCACACCTAGCTAACATAACCTATTTTAAAGCTTTCTAAACATTTGATAATTGTAGAGGGCGGGGGGGGGGGAGTGTTATGAACTTGTAATTTTTATTTGCACTGAAACATTTGTTATATTTTTAAAATTTGTTCTCAATTTGTCAGTTGCCTTTTGTAACCTAAATGCATTTAAAATGTTTATGTCACCAAACCTTGCAAATTTTCTCCTTTAAAGCTTCCTTCGAAAGCCTTCTTCCCACCCCTACAATTATATAAAATAATCTCCTATGGTGATTATAGTAGTTAGTAATACTGTATTGTATACTTGAAATTTGCTAAGATAGTATTTCTTTAGTGCTCTACACAACCACACCAAAAAATAACTACATGAGGTGATGGATGTGTTAATTAACTTGATTGTGGTAATCATCAGATACATTAAACATCAGATTGTATACCTTAAAAAAATCAGGTACAACCTAAACATATAGAATTTTTGTCAATCATATCTCAACCAAACTGGTGGAAAAAAAGAAATATCTCCTATATTTTGTTCTAACTTTTTTGAGAGGCTTTTATATCTGCAATTTATCTTTTAATATACAATATAGAAGGGATTAACTTTTCTTCCTTTAAAATAGCCAATTTTTTCAATACCCATGATATCACTTTTTCCACTGATATAACATGTATTAAATTCATACATCTATCTATCTATACACATATATAGATAGATATATAGATGTATAAATATATATTCTGGGCCCTTCCTATCATCTATTTGCCTATTCCTGTGCAACTACACGATGTAATTCCTCCAAAGAAAGTGTCCCTGTCCCCCTAATTTATTCTGCTTCCTCAAGGGCCTCCTAGATACAGCAAATGCTCAGTTAGCTATCAATAGACAATTTCTTATATTATTCTTTTGCTAAATACAACAGATTCACTAATAACTAGACATCTCCAGATTTACTTCCTATCTTTACCTTTTGGTAATCATATTATTTTAAGTAAAAATCTCTTATAAAATATTTCAGTACCTGAAATAGCTTTTGTTTCTCTCGAACTTTATTTTCAAACTGCCTGCGTGAAGCAGTACTTATGGTCCTCTGGGAAATCTGACGAAGAGCCTGAAATTAAAAATCCAGACATATTAAACATAAGGCTTACAGAAACCTTCAAAACCGTCCATGTACAATCTGCACAATTACAGAAGAGGGAAAGTGAGGGTTAAAATCTATCCAATTTGTCAGTAACAAAGTTATAAACCAACATCCAGGTTTCCCAATGTGTTGGCCATCCTCTGCTCTTTATACTGCATTCTGCCGTCTCCAAAGACCACATTCAAGAAGCAATTCATGCGAATTCTGAGCAAAAACAAACAAGCAAACAAACATGACCTTGACCTGAGTTGAACCAGTATTATTATGTAATTCTTGAAGAAAACATACTGATATAATAAATATTACAGAAACAAAAAATGATTACAAAATACACTAATAAAGCTCAAATGTTTTCATTTAATGCTCGACCATATTAAAAATCTATTACTTGATCTCAAAATAAACTAGCATGGTTCCTAAGATGCTTCTCATCACATTTTTCTTAAAAAATCTTTAATAAGATATAAATCTTTTAAAAAGGAGACCTGCATTATATATCCAGTTGAATTATATAATTAATGAAAGAAATTCCACTTTCTAAAATATATTACAAAACTAAGTAAAACCTTTTTTATTGTTACAGAAGAAGGTGATCGCTGTTTCACTTTCCTTTTCGCAAATCTGGAGAAATATCGCACATGCCGAAGCCGGTGGAGGGCTGAAGGGCACTGCGGGACCGTCTGCAGGAAGCGACACGGAACTGCCACCACGACCGCTCCTCAAGTCCCACCCGAAACTGGACGATTTGCTTTTCTAACCGAAATCTGATGCTCAGGGAGCTCCGAACCTCTGAAGCCTACACCCTTTCAGTAATAGAGGAACACCTTTCTGTCTGAGGCTTCGGGTATCAGAACCTTCCCCCCGGACCTTGGTTACTCACATCAGAGCTACTAAACTCATCTAAGTCCCTCAGAGTTAGGGGCGGCGAGGGAAAAACAACAAGGCTTATCTAACTAACACTCCTGTGCTCACCTTCCCAGCTTCTCCTCTCCCTACATACACCCAGCAGAGACTGGGCGAAGGGAAAGCAACGTCAGGAGTAAAGGACGCGGACCAAGGTGACCCAAGAAGCCGCCCTCCTCTCCCACCTTCCCTCTCAGAACAGACTTGGGAGTCGGTCGCGGTCCCTTAGCCTCCTCTCCCAACGCTCCCGCCCCCCAGCGCGACTGCAGGCCGAAGAGCTCCTCACCAGCAGATTCCGCAACATGTTGGCTCAGTTATTGCCCACCAACCGCGACTACTAAACGCCCGGAATGCCTAACGTCACACCGGAACCGGAACTACCTTCTGGGCATGCGCCAACGTCAGGGGTCCTAACTATTTCCGGTTGGACGGGGGAAAGGCTGGCGCTCCTAACCATAGAGAGCGGAAGAACAGCGAGAGCGGCGGCACGGTGGCCGCTCTAGCCAGCTGGCCGTTCGGCCCCCTCATCTCGTTCCCGGCCTGTCGGACGCCTTCCTCCCGCCGCTCCCCTCGCCCCCCCGCTGGCTGGCTGGGGAAAGCAAAGGACTTGAGACCAGAGACGCGGGCAGTGGGGTGTTACTCGCTCTTGTAACTCGCTTAGATAAGATTGTTGTGAGACCACGCTATCCTAGAAAGTCAGTGTGTGTAGTTTGAACGAGAAGGCGTAAACCTTTGAGCAACCTTTGAGCCCATTTAGAGGCGGAATGAGCACTGGGTTGGCCGAACTATAAGCTGTGAAGATGGATGAATTTGGGAACAAAAAGGATAACTCCTCTTACACGGGTAGTTTTCTCCATCGAAGAAATTGCTGTGAGGGCGTTATTGTTCCTTGTGCTGAGAGCATGCTGTGAAGACCTGCGTTGGGATACCCATTTTTATCTTCTTGTACCTCTGGACGCTGCAGAATCCCCCATGCAAAAAAGCTCTTCCACAGTGTCCCAGAATTGTGGCAGCTGTTCTCTCATTTCTCTGTGCCTGGGAAAACGCTGCAAAGAGGGGGATTTTTAAAAATATATATATTTTATTGATTTTTTACAGAGAGGAAGGGAGAGGGTTAGAAACATCGATGAGAGAGAAGCATCGATCAGCTGCCTCCTGCACACCCCCTACCCGGGATGTGGCCCGCAACCAAGGTATATGCCCTTGACCGAAATCGAACCCGGGACCCTTGAGTCCGCAGGCCGATGCTCTATCCACTGAGCCAAACCGGTTAGGGCAAGAGGGGGAATTTTTTAATGGGGGACAAGGAATGGGATGGCAAATCTGAACTTAAGTCTTGCTGTCTTAGGTCCAACAGGGCACTTTCCATAACTGGAGTTTGTTAGCCAAAGAAATTATTGAACAGGTAAGTTGTCAGTGTGTCCTGCATCGATCTTGCTTATATAATGCTACATTGCAAGCGTCTTTATTCTTTGTGCCCACTCCCAAGTGTGTGCACTAGTAAATGTAAAACTATCTACCCTATACTACAATAGACTTTTCACCTTTTCACAAACTCAGTTCTAATTAACGCATTGTCAATACAAATAGGAAGCTGGTAACATATGTGTTCAGCATAGGTGCAATGTGTAGACAAACAATAATACTAAAATTATTCTGATCTTTAGTGTTAGACCCACCAAGTTACCTGTCCTCAGTTCAAGTTCTCTCCACTAAGATTTATAAATAATCCAAGTCATCTCTTCCCTGGATTAGGACTAAAGGACGGGGTTTCTTCCCCCCTCTGCATTACATAGTGTAAACAAATCTTGGAGGACAGTTACAGGTGCCAATAGCTGGAGCATACAGATGTTTAAAAGTGGATTGTCTATAATTTGTTAAACTTGTATGTGCTTTCTTATGATTTCTTCACTTAGCGAACTAGACTGTAAACTTCTCAGAAGAGATTATGTAAATTTCTTACCAATCCCCTGTGATTGCTTAAAGAGGGTAAACTGATATATATTGGGTGATAGATCCAGGACACTTACAGCTCTGTCCAAAAAGAACTAAAGATTCACATAAAATAGATGCTGATCCTTATTTGCATGTCACTTAGTACAGTATAATTTTCCCCTCTTTACTGGATCATTCACTCACATTCCCAAATTAAACAAATAAACCTCCTTTGATTTCAGTTACCATCCCATTTCTCTTAAAAATAAAACAGATTTCTTTATACTTGTCTTTCCTTCCTCTTCTAATTTTTTTTTTTTTTCATTTGGGGGAGGCTTTTACTGCTCTTGTTAGGATCACCAACCTCAATTTTCATCTACCATCTATGAATAACATTTAACATACTTGATCACTCCCTCAATGTATATTTCCAATTTTTTATTTGGAAATAAGCCATAAATACACTATAACATGTATACTACAGTTTAAAATATTTTCTTAATGAGCCTTCCATATACAATTTGTCCTTTTATTTCAGCAGCTGCTACTTCTAGTTTCCTCATCCTCAAAATCTCTAAATTTGAGAATACCAGCTTTTTAAAAAACATTAATCCCCTTTGGGATTCCATCTGGTGCCACAAAACACCATTTGTGTGCTGACAACTCTCTACCCTGACCTTTCCCTTTAACTCCAGACATCTCCACTTAGATGTCTAATGGGCATCGCAAAATTACAACCAAAAATGGAATTCTTCTTTCCATTCATTTCCAAGTGCTCTCCTCTGAAATTTCCTTCAAGCCCCAAGGTATTGGCTGCACCTTCAAAATATAATCTGAGTCTGACCACTTCTCAAGCCAACCCATCATCATCTCTTGCCTGCATTCCCGTAAAAGCCTTTTTAAACTGGTTTCCCTCCTTTCCGCTCTTGCACTCAGTTTATATTCCACACAGCAGTAATCCTTTTAAGAACTTATTAGATAATGACTCTGCTTAAAACTATTTTATTTTGGTCATTGATGTATCCCCAGCACCTACACTAAGTAACTGGCACATAATAAATATTGGTTAAATAAATAGTATGCTGTACAAAAGAATATATTGAATATGAAAATTCAAAAAAAATCTTTCTTAATACTCATTGTACTCCTTTCAAACATTTTTAAGTCCCAGGGTTCCTCACTCATTGTCTCCTTGCTCTTGCTCTGTAAACTGTGATTACACTGACAAAAAACATGGCTGAATGTGCCTGGTTACCTATTAAACTTTACCTGATCTTCCCAGGCACACCTGAAATTTGTTACCAGATTTGTAAACATCCTCTGAAGCACAAGTTATTTTCAAAATAGGTTCCTTTCCAAAACATAGGTTCTTTTGTAATACTGTAAAAATTATTAGACATTGCTCTTCTTTTGAAAAATATTTCCTCCGCAGTGGTTCTCAACCTGTGGGTCGCGAACAATGAAAATACATCCTGCATATCAGATATTTACATTACGATTCATAACAGTAGCAAATTACAGTTATGAAGTAGCAACAAAAATAATTTTATGGTGAGGGGTCACCACAACATGAGGAACTGTATTAAAGGGTTTCGGCATTAGGAAGGTTGAGAACCACTGCTCCAGAGGGTTCTTGAACATTAAAACAGAACTGGCAGTACATTTAGATATGTGGTAGGTAATGATTAATTTAGGTGTTGTCAGCAAGATAAATTTGTGGGCATCAGATGTAAAATTACTAAGTGAAAATATTTCACAATTAACTGATGGAAACTACCAAATCACAAAGGGACTCAACCTTTCTAAAAAAAAAAAAAAAAGTCAAACCCTTACTTTGATCCTGCCTATAACATCTACAAACAAAAAGACAAATGCCTGAATAGTTGTATGGGAATGCGATGTGTATTTTTTTTTCTGAACCATGCTTAATCCACATCCAATTTTATAAAAACAATATAGACCAACTTCATGTGAACTTTAATGTATCAAAACTAGTTAGCCCTGGTCGGATGGCTTAGTTGGTTGGAGTATTGTCCCATATACCAGGTTTGATTCCCGGTCAGGCCACATACCTAGGTTTTGGGTTCAATCCCTGGTCAGAGTGAGTACAGGAAACAGCCAATCGATCTCACATTGATGTTTCTCTCTCTTTTCCTCCCTCTCTAAAATCAATAAAAGTGTGTCCTCTGCTGAGGATTAAAACAAGAAAAACCTACTAGTTAGATAAAAGGTAGCATTTCAATATAACTCCCTATTTTAATTATGATACAGTTAGGAATCAGGAAACATTTGGTTGTCAATTAACTGCTATATTATTTTACCATTAAATAATTTGTCTAATTGCAAGCCTTATCTTTTCATCATTAAAGGGGTTGTACTAATCTTTATCTCTGGCTCTAAAATCCTTATATATGAAAAATACTTTAAAACATCCTTTATAATAAACCTTAATATGCAAATCAAATGACCGGTGGAACAACCAGTTGCTATGATGGGCACTGACCACTAGGGGGCAGATGGTGAACGCAGGAGCTGCCCCCTGGTGGTCAGTGCACTCCCACTGGGGGAGCGCTGCTCAGCCAGAAGTTGGGCTCACAGCTAGCAAGCACAGTGGCGGTGGTGGGAGCCTCTCCCACCTCCACCACAGTGATAAGGAGCAGTGAGCTGAGCGGTAAAGAGTAGCGAGCAGGTGGGCAGTAAGGAGCAAGGGGTTCCAGACTGCAAGAGGGATTTCTGACTGCTGGCTTAGGCCTGCAGGCGGATATCCCCTGAAGGGTCCCAGACTGCAAGAGGGAGCAGGCCAGGCTGAGGGGACCGCGCCCCTCCCCCCCCGCCCCGCCCAGTGCTCCAATTTTGTGCATTGGGCCTCTAGTATGACCATAAGTTCACTCCTTGTTGAACAATAACTTACTAAGGACCTACTATGAATGTAACATTTTCCAATTTGCTCAGAAGAAAACGTTGAATCTCTGACCTTCTGGAGCATATACTCTCACTAGGAATATAATATACACATAGTAGTAAGTTATTCTGCAGACATAAATGACTCTCTGGTAACTGCTATAGTAAAAGTTACTATGGGAAATTTAAGAAAGGTAATGGTTATTGGGAAGGTTTTGAAAAAAACTGGATTTTAGCAGGGTCCGGTAAAATTAGAATGAATGGCGTAGGGATTAAAAGGTATTCCAGACAGGGCAAAATCATGATTAATAACCTGGATTCAGAATCAAGCATGATCTACTGCAGAAACTGTGAGAGGCCTAAATGGAATGAAAAGAGAAAAAATATTATTGTAGTTAAGAACTTGGAAGTCAGATCCTGAATCTGTCAGCTAATAATGATATGATAGTTTCATAATCTATACCTGTTTCTGTGAAATGAAGGTGATAGTAGCTATCATTGGGTGGCTGTGAAAATTAAATGATATAATTCAATAAATATTAGCTATTATCATGGGAGGAAAATTTGGGTAAGGAGAAATCTAAGCAGAAGATATAGCCTATGCAGAGGCAAAGAAGAAAGGGTGAACAGATGGCTTGGGGAATTGTAAATCGTTTGGCTGGCAGAACACCTGGAGTGTGAGGCAACAGTGGTAGGCAGGAGTGAGATTTTAGTAATGATATTTAATCTTATTTTGAGGGTGCAGTTTAAATAGCAAACTGTCAAGATCAGAATTGTTTCAAGATCATTCTGGTAGTTGTGAAAGGCTGGATTGGACATGAGTTACTAGGAACAGAGTCCATGAGAAGGCTATTATAGTATCCAAGGAAGAAAGGAAACCTGAAATGAGTCAGCAGCAAAGAGATATAAAGAGATGGATTAAAGAGCCAGCTATAATAAGTACCTTTAAAAATCAACAGAATGTAGTGATTTATTGGGTTGGGAAGTTGGAGAGGAAAGCAAGGTTCCTGGCTTAACGCATAAGGTGGTTGGTCATACCATTCACTATATTGAGGGATATTAAGAGAAACCCCAGGCTAGTATGAGATTCCTGTTTGGGCCTTATTACATTTGAGAAATCCAAGGACAATCCAAGACAAGACCTAGAGCTCAGGAGGGATATCAAGACACAAGAATAGATAATGAAGTCAGTGTGAAGATG